ACTCGTTATACATCTCAGCAGGATTAGAGAAAGCCGCTGCATATTCAGGAGTTAAGGTGATTAAGGTGCGACCACATGATGGATGGAGTGTGGTTTGTTAATTGCAGTTTCATGACCAAAACGCTTCTCACAGGCTGATGTGAAGAAAGTAAGAATACAGGTCTGCAAATAACAAATTAAAAATACAAATGGAGCTTTGAAAATGAACATTATGGGTTGAGAATAATATAATTGTCAACCACTGCGAGACGAGGCTGAATGTTTTGGGTTTATTTTAGTCCTAATTTTAGCTTTTTCATAGTTACACTGGCAGCTTTTTTTCCAGAAATGTAACAAAAAAAATAAAAAAGAGAAAACCTCTGGGCATGTGTACGTGAAGAGGGGCATAAAACGTAACCCCCTTTAGTTGCCGTTCATGTGGGACCATGCTACAGTGCTGGCTCAACCACAAACTAGCGGGTTTATAGAACGTCACCTGTGGTGTCCTGACAATTAAGATCTGAGTCAATGTCAGAGTCAGTTTTAACCATCTTTAGTTCTCACTGAATGTCAGACAGCAGCATTTTAACCATCTTCAGTTCTCACTGAATGTCAGACAGCAGCAGGCGCTGTTATTTAAGGTGAACGAGGGACAACAAGCGTCAATGTTTCTAAAGGGGATCAACGTCATTGTTCTTCCATGGCGACAATGAATCCCATTCTCAGATTCATTTGTCGCAGCTCCGCTGTATCCTATGAGCAGACAGTGGATAGATCTCCAACAGTGAGACAATAACAGCAGTGGGATTAATAGATAATTCTCCTGCTCTGTGAACACAGACTCGTCTTCTGCTCTATTGCTCTCTCTCACTCTCAGGGCTGTTGAAAATGGACTGCATTGCTCTGGTTAGTAATTTTGTAAATACGCAAGCTGAAGTGAATATGAGACGCCACAGTTATTTTAGGATGCAACACCATGGAAGAGAAGAAAAGTGGATTAAATGCAGTTCATTAGAATTTCAGATTCACTCAATCTCTTTTTAATGAAGGATATCTATGTATAAAACCTCATTTCTAGGATTTAAACAAATTCCTTTGCCTGGCTTTGTTTTCCTGTGCATTCACAATTTGATGATTTTGCACATCAGCAAGATTTAGAAAGCAAACTGTAGCAAAAGACACAATAAGAACTTTCATTCTATGTGGAAGATGTACTAACTTGTATGTGCTTATTCAAGAACCACTATTACTATTTAAAGCACTTAACTCTAACTTCCTGGTGCATTAAAGACATCCACAGATGATTAAGGACAACCTTAAATACTTCCCTTCTGTGATTATACGTAGAATGTTCACAAAAAAATGGATGAATGCATACATTTCATTTTCATTTATATAACTGTTGCCTCCAGCTTAGGAGTTTCTAATGAGACTAAATTGCATTTTAGTGTTTAATTTCATCAGATTTCCCGACAATTAAAAGGTCTTTTCTCCCCCAAAGGCTTCGTCTGACTTATTTTAAGCTAAAGAAAAACAATAAATGCACATCAGAGCTGCAAAGACAAGCTGTTTGATAAAGAATACAGCCAGTGTCTGGTTCCATGTTACTAATTTAAGTACCGCATCCAGACATTAAAGAGAATAGAACAAAAGCTTTGAAAGACATGAAATCCAACGCAATCTCTTGAAACAGCACCCAGTCATTTCAGTTTCTGTTTGATTACACTGACTCAGTTTCCAAAAGAAAAAAAAATTACATTTTCTCACCAGAACTTTGTGTATGAAATTCAGTAATTCACCCCAATGTAATGTAAAGCAGAAGTGTGGATTATTAAGAATCAAATTGAAGACAAGTCCACACAAAGGAAACATCTGCATGATACACGTCAATGTGGTTAAAATATATCTAGTATATTGAGTTTAAGTGTATAATGTTTAAAAGCTGAGAATAGTAACAAATGGTCCCTTTGTACTGCAGTAGTTTATACTTTCTCTTAGTGTAAAAATTGTTTTTTTCAGTTACTTT